TTATTAAGAGCAATTACCCAAGGTCCAAGCCCACACCACCAGGCCCAAGTGAGGCTCCATCCCAAAACCAATTGGTAATGGGTGGAGTAACCCACTTACGTTATATGGTGGATTTATTTTCTTCCCACAACCGATGTGGGACTTGTTTGTCCCAACAGATGCAATTGCCCTTTGTTCATCAGATGAGAGTAAGGACTTCAAATTTTAATACTCGCCTAGAAACTATTTAGTACTTGTGTCATTCAAATAAACAATTTAAAACTGTATCCTATCTACAATCTAAAATTATATCAAATGATACTTTAGATTTCACATATGAAACTTGAATTTATCCATAGAAGTGTTTAGAAAAGCTCTAATTAGAATGAGAAATTACAGAGGAAGCATTTATTTTCATAAGATTCTGCGAGCTCCCCAACACCATATCCATCCACAACATTAATATTGATTTATCCGCTTTATAAAAAGCCTCAACTCTCAAACCTCTCGTCATCATCACCTCATCCCTTTTATACACATACAATACATACACATATGCATGTGTTTGACTTTCTGCTAAAGTTATATTCTGATAGTGATTTGCATTCAGAAAGATTCGCTCTTTATTTATTGAAATGTTTTGAGCCTCTGACTTTCTTTTCATCTGTGAACTCCAGCAAAGAAAAGCAACATCAATGGAGGGTCTGCCTGCTGGATATCGCCCGAATGTTGGAGTCTGTCTAATCAACGATGATAATATGGTAAAAAAAAACACTATTTTCTTCTAGTTATTTTTGCCAGAAATTCGTTACTGGGATTGATTAAAAGTTTGATCTTTTTCTGGGTTTTATGTGTTTTTGGATAATTGAGATCAAAGCATATAGATTATTTTCTTGAATGATTCTGAGCAAGAAAATGTACTTGTATTTTTTTTTCGTGATAGTATAATATTGAAGTATACAATTAGTTACATTTTATTTTCTAACAAATTTATCTATTTTCTTATTTTACCAAAATCTCCAATAAAAATCAAATCCTCTCTTCTTATTTTCTAACAGGTTTGAATTTTTTATTTACTTTACATGTTCTATAGTAAAAGGAGTTTCTTTGTGTTTATCGAAACATGTCTTCACCACCTAAATTTTAATTGTGATTGTCAAACTCGTGTTCTCATTTTTATTTATTTATATTAGTATCATCCCTTGTGTACCTTAGTATTTCTGTTTCTACAATTAGGGTTTGGGAGTTGGGTGAGGGGTTCAAAATCTAAGCAATCTTGTCCATTCCCTTTTTTGGAAAGTTAATATAGATAATTAGACTACTCTTCATTTTCTGTATTGAAAATTGTAGTTTGGTGGATGTAAGGAAATTCACTTTTAATTTGTGTTTGCTTGTAGGTGTTTGTGGCTTCGAAATTGAATGTTCCAGGAGCATGGCAGATGCCTCAGGTAATGCCATGGACTATCTTAAACAATAATTTTAATATCCAGTAATATTCCGTCCAATACACCAAAGGTTCCAAAAAATGCATTTGTAACTACTTACGTTTAGCAAATTTCATTTCCTAACCCTTTTCTGTCAAAGAATTTGGAAGATCATGGAGAGTTCTTAATCGCACCATATAAGTGTCCATTAATCTGATGTGACAACAATTTCAACTTACAGTTGTTTTGACTTGCAACAGATTCAACTTTCGAGCATAATTAATATTAATTTCTTATGATCGTTGATTCTACTAATCAGGGGGGTATCGAAGAAGGTGAAGATCCAAGGTCTGCAGCAATAAGAGAATTGAGAGAAGAAACGGGGGTAGTATCTACTGAAATAATAGCTGAGGTATGTCTTGTTTCCAATATATTTTGAATTTGGAATAGTTTTCCTACTTTTGTTTTTACCTTTAATTCCCTCTTTTCTTTTATTCCAGGGAGTGAAGGATAGATTATTATTTGAGGATATAAAGTAAAAAAAAAAACCCACCGAGAAATGATTCAATGTCGACTATAGTTATATACTTATGTATCAGTGTCATCAAGAATTTGTTTTTCCTTTCCTATTTTGCTGGTGTCATGGCAGATATTATAATGTTTTTAAATAAAAAATATTTCTGACTTACAACCTTCATGTTATCTTCATTATTTCTCTCTGAAAATGAAATTGAAATTATTTGTATGTTTTCAGGTTCCTCAGTGGCTGACCTATGACTTCCCGGCTGCCGTGAAGGCAAAGGTGAATCGTCTGTGGCGAGGAGAATGGCATGGACAGGCACAAAAATGGTTTGATTCATGTTTTCCAAATTTTTATAATGTAATGTGAATATAATATCCTTGCTACATACCTAATTTCTGACTCTAAATTCTCTAAAAACAAGCAACATGAAATAAAACCTAAAAATTAGGAAACTACTTTTTGATCTTTTACCTGGCTTCATATATTACTTTGAATCTCAGTTGAACTCACGTGATTGGATTCTTGAATGTCTCATTACGTATTGATTATCCACGTCCTCGAATGATGGAGTAGAATATCTATTATTTCTTTTATGTGTTAATTTTGAATAATTTTTTATATCCATTTATTTATCTGCTGAATTGATCATCCAATAAGACAGCTCCCCCTTTCTGCATCTCCGTCCTTTTTTGTCTTAAAACTTTTATTTGAGCCTTTATTCGAGTATTCTCCTTCATTTTAGGTAATGAGTGTAGCCATTTATCAAAAAGTGGCACTACCATTCAAGAGTGTACGTTAGATGGATAACTGACAAAGACTTGACTCCTTGAATTTCTATCATCTTTGGATCTTTGCATAATATATTATTTGACTCTTAAAATTCTATACAGTCTGGCGTATAAAATAATTTGATTGAAGATGTTACTTTGTGATGCATATCCTGATTTGCCATCAAACCATTCTTCCATCAATTTTACAAGCTGTAAAAATCTCCGAACAACAATAATTAAAGTGCCTAAATGGAGATGCTCGAGTACAAAGCTACAGACGTAAATTAGTCTAGACAGAAATCGAAAATGAACTTTATACACGTGCTGTGTAGCATGAGAAGTAACTGAAGCAATCAACAGGTTTCTTATGAGATTTACAGCTGATGAAAGTGAAATCAACTTAGCAAATGGTGAAGCAAAACCAGAATTCTCAGACTGGAAATGGGCAACCCCGGAAGATGTCATTGAGCAGGTATTCTGAAACATTTCTTCCAAAATTGTACTGAATTCTCCATTACAGATCTTTTTCAAAAGGCTTACTTATGCATGGATTATAACTTCTTATACCAGGCAGTGGATTACAAGAGGCCATCATATGAGAAAGTTATGAAAGCCTTCCAGCCTCACATCAATTCAAGAAAACCTACAAAATCCTATTCAACAAAGTGGTAATATATATTGTCTGAAGTTTGCTATTAATATCATAATGGAGTGTTTGGTTAGATGTATTGAACAGTATTAAAGACGAAAAAGAAACTAAGATTTTGTCGGCTGTCATGTCTAGTTTTGTCTCGTATAATGTTTCCTAATTGTTTATGTTTGACAAGTTTGGAAATGTTGAATTTCTCCTGAATCTCTGTAAATATATATCAGTATTGAACTTTCGGGTTCTGAATGTTATCTTTGGAGGGCTCAAGTAGCTCTTCTTTAGTTTTATCGAGTGAAAAACTGATGCCATTTTGGGTTAGGCTGTATGATGTTGTCTTGAGGTTTGAGTGCGAGGTAAAAAGGTTGACTTATGCTAACAATCAACAGCAGCAACTCACCGAATGGAATTATGTTATATGTACAACATTGGTTGACAACATTATATTTAACATCATCGTATCCATCCATTTTAAAAAACCGTTTTCTGCATCACATGTTAAGATTTTGACAACACATGGTTGTCAATCATTATTGTCCATCAATGTTGTACACTTAGTTTTATTTCACTGAATGATCCAATGCATTTGCAAGAATTGTCTTCAAGTCACTAATCTAACAGAAGCCATCCCTACTATTTGACCCGAAAAATCGCACCCTCCCTGGACAAAGCGGTGGGGGACAGTTTCGGATCGTGGTTTTGCTGCCCAAGGGTGAGGCAAGAGGGACGATTATCTAGTTATTCACAAAAAAATTCAAAATTTGTTTAAAATACTTTTAATCAACTTTTGTATAGCCAATTCTCAAACTACGCTAAAAATTAAAAAAAGTAAAAATTTAAAACATATAATTGGGGTTGTCCCCCGCCCCCGTGTCCCGAATTTATCCAGTCTAAGTGCCCTTTGACCAGTCCCTTAAAGACTTTTGGCAGCAAGAACTTGTATCATTTCTTTTCGGATCCAATATTTGCTATCCAATCAGCTACCTTGTTACATTCACTCCAAATTTGGGATATCTGAATTGCCAACTTCGTACTTGGCAGATGAAATCTCTTCGATCGTTTATTGCACTTCCGAAGGACCTTTCCCATTTTTCATTAACGAAGACACTACTGCATTCGAATCAACTTCTGCCCAGATTTTACTATATCCATCTGCAGGCACTGTCTTAAAACAATGGCGAGGGCTTTCATTTCAGCTGACAAAATCTAATCCGAAGAATTTATGAAATCCCCAAACCCGTCTATCTCCTTTTCAAGTTCTAAGTATTCCTCCACCATCAGCTTGATAATCTCCTTTTAATGCCACATCCGTGTTGAGTTTCCACAATATGTTCCAATGTTTCTTCTTCATAGCAACACTGACATTTGGAAGCAAGACTAACACCCAACTTTACTCCGATCACCTCGTCTACTGGAAGTAAATTGTTTCACAATTTCCAAATAAAGAATGGAATTTTGGGCGGTATACATTATTCCGAATACTTATATAAGAAGACTGAATGTGTTCTTTCTCTAAACAAGTTTATACGAAAATTTAATGAAAACGGACCTGAAATATTAAGAGTCCAAAATAGTTGCATCATCTTTCTCCGAGATTGGGATGACTTTCCCTTCTTCTAATTCTTGGAATTGGCCAAGTATAAAACCAGGGTAAAGTGACTTTTGTGTCAATTTCGACCAAATATTCGGACTTGATCTGATAGTCAAATTATGGAAATAAATAGATTAATTTGTTCTACTCGTCGAGTAGATCGTTGTGGTATATTTAAAATAACAAATCTAATTCTAGATGAATGAGAAATTACGGTCCAAAGTTGGAAGAAAATAGAGGAAAATTAGTTGGAAAATTATCCCAACTCCTCCGCTCGCCTAGCGCTCGAGTGATAGGCTAGCGACAAACGAGTGACAGAGTCTCCATTTCTGATGCTCGAATGATACGAGGGCGACAGGTGAGCGACAACAAAAGCTACGACCCTTGGCAAATGTTGCTTAGTTTTGAGGCGTGATTTTTCATTTACAACATCTCTTCCTCTATAAATAAGACCATTAGGACGTCCATTACTTCATCCCAATAATATACAATCATAGCATAACATTAAATTCATATTTTTCTAGCCAAAACTCTACATAAAAACCTGTTTTCCATTTCATTCTAGAAGGAGTACAAAAACTAATCTCCGGTTTGTTGTTCTTGTGTTTTGGAGCGCTACAAACACAAGAATATAGTTTTTGTATCTTAAAAGTTGATTGCCATTACTTAAGGATAAAGAGTTCAACTCTTACTTCGAATTTGCATCCATTTCACTTGGTGTCACTTTAGCATTCTTTTTCTTTGGTGTTTTACTATTCATTTCCTTGCCGTTACTCTTTTCAATATTTGGTAAGGTTGGTAAGTTTGATTTTTGGTTTTAAAGTCATCACTCAAATCCATTACTCATCAACAATCTTAAGTCGATTTTTTGAGTGATAACTTTCTTCTTTCATTTTATTCAATTAAACCGATTTCACTTTGGTTTAATTCCATCTACTCTTTCTCGGATTTTGATTTTTGGTTTATCTTCTGTTTGTGTAAACAAAATGAATACAGTTAACAATACCAATATATCTTAGAATATAGGAACTTCGGAAGTAGTTTTACCTAACTTGGTCCCTACTGTTGTATTCGGTTGCGGTTGCGGTTGCGCTGGCCTCTCCTACCGTTCATACAATTTTCGTTCTACATGGAGAGAAATCGAAGAAGTGCTGTGGGGTTGAGTTCAAGATATGGCAACAGAAAATGTTGTTCTATCTCACAATCCTAAATCTGGCAAAATTCTTGAAGGAATATGCTTCCGTCGTGCAATAAGGAAAAATAATAGGGCATAATTGATAGCATTGGATGTTTGAAAACATTCAGACTTCTTATACAAAAATTACATACTGAATGGATTGGATAACACATTATATAATGTGTATAGTTCTATAAAATCTGCAAATGAACTATGGGAGTCTTTGAAGAAGAAATACAGGAGTGGAGATGCTAAAACTAAAAAGTTTATTGTGGGAAAATTCTTAGATTACAAAATGGTAGATTCAAAGACGGTCATCAATCAAATACAAGAATTGCAAGTAATTTTTCATAACATTCACGCAGAGAATATGTCTCTAAGTGAATCATTTTAAGTAGCTGCAATTATCGAGAAACTTTCATTCATGTAGAAGGATTTCAAGAATTATCTCAAATACAAGCACAAGTTGAATACTTAAAGGTTGAAAAATTAAAGGGATCAAGAATTCCTTCTAACACAAGTTTTTTCATTTTCTTTTGAGAAATGTGACCTAAATGTTTGTGTCATAACAAGGCAAAATTCTCATTGCTTAATTTAAATTTAATACCACATGAATTCACGTGTAATATTTCTTTATAAAAGACAACCGTATTAAGCAAATATAGTTTATCATAACCAGATAAAGAACTAGTACACACAATATTTGACTTAAGAAAAAGACTAAATTGACTATTTTCAATTAAACAAAAGTAGCCGAACTTGTCCAATTTAGAAATAGAAAATAAATTTCGTCTAAAAGACGATACAACAAATATCTCTTTCAAATCCAAATAATAACCAGAGTTTAATGATAACCTAAAATCCATATAGCCTCAACTTTAATTAATTTGCCTTATAAATGAATCTTTCAACACCAATTAGCTTTCAGCTTTTCAGGCAACCTTACATAGATGTACTTTCGTGAGTAATGGCACCGAAATTTATCCACCAAACGTGCCTAGGTACTGAAATTAAATTAACATCTGGACAAACTAATGTGAGATGCATACTTTTCTTTACACGTCAGGCATAGTATTTAGCATAATCCCTCTTCATGTGTCTCGGATTTTTACAAAAGTAACAACCAGATGATAATTCTTTTCAAGCTTTTGCTATTTCTTTTCAGCGGAATCATATACAGCTTTCTTATTCTTTAACTTGTCCTTAGAAATACCTGTCAAATGAGTACTTTCAGTTCTTTCTTGCTTTAACCTGTCTTCTTACACATAATATGAAATGAGCTCATTAAGAGTCAACTTCTCTCTTTTGACTGTCGTAACTAACCTTAAATTAGTTGAATTATGCGGGAATAGAAATTAAAACTAAATGCACGAGCAAGTCATCAAACATCTCAAACTTTAATGCATTTAGTTTTGAAGAAAGATTATATATATCAATGATGTACTCCCTTATGTTTTCTTTAGCCTTATACTTTAGTGAAATCAAGTTAGCCCAAAGCGTACTGCTTTTGGCCTTATCGCCTTTGGCAAAGTGATTTTTTTTTTATATAGAAATTACATGGTAGTAGTCACCTTATTGAACATAGCGTCCCTGAATGTTGTTGGAATTTCATGCTTCATGATCATAAGACTTATACGGTTTGAAAAATCTCACTTATTCGAGTCTTATTTTTATTATCGAAACTTTTATCCATAAAAATAGTGGGTTGTTCAGTCCTTAACACAAGTACTAAATCCATGCCGCTAGAAATGATATAAACATTCTCTTTCCGGCCCTTAAACTTTGATTCAAGCACATGAATTGAATTGATGTTGACAGATATTGCAGAATAAGATGGATTAACCGAAAAGAGAACTTAAACCTAATTAAAATGTTCACATGAGAATCCATATTGAACAATCAATAAATTCAAATAATAGTGACCCCATCACAAGAGATCAGGCACAACATTGACATTTAGTTTTTGGACAAAAATATCAACTTTTAAGTGGTGATCTTGGTGTAGTAATCGAATATTTACAATAAATCATGTCAAACATTGAGACTATCTTTGGAACGACTCAATATTTACATAAAAATAAACTTTGTAATTGTCAAATATTTAATACTGCATGTGTGCAAATAATTCGATCAAATATTGACTTTACTTTGGGTCAATCAATACTCTCATAAATTACATACACACAATATTTCTAATATTTCAAATAAATTAATTTAGATAAGATATGTTACTTTGGTAACATGTTATTTCAATTGATTAATTTTAGAAAATTAGTAATCTAAAAGAAACGATAATATCAAGATTTGAATTTGAGTGCCCTCTACTTTTTTAATTTTTATTTTTGTTTTAAAAAAATGTAATTTTGGACAGAACCTGGGTGTTGGGACGATGGGAAACCGGCATTGCCATGATGGGAAACCAGCGTCGCGGCACTGCAGCGCTCCGACTGCCCTTGTTCATCATTTTTTTGAAAATTTTCCAAAAAATTCCGAAAATTTGAATTTTAGGGTTAAAATTTATATTCTCAAATTGAGGAATCCAAAATATAAAGTTCAACCCAAAAATTCTTACTCGAAAAATTTTGAATTCAAATTTTATAACTGAAATTCACATTCCAAATTAAAGAATTCTAAAATTCAATGTATGAACTTCAACCATAAAAATTATTTCTTTAATCTCAATGGTTTAACATAGAATTACACTATGCCAAAAATGAGCTTTTACAACACATAAAAGGCAACATTTGATAGTTAAGTGTTGCTAAAGGGGTCTATCGCAACATTTTGATAAGTGAATGTTGCAATTGATTAGTATAATTGAGTTTTAGCAACATTTTATAAATAAATGTTGCAAAAAGTGTCTTTCGCAACGTTTATTAAACGTTGCAAAAATAGTTGATATTTTGCAACGTTTAATAAACGTTGCAAAATATAAATGTTTTTGCAACGTTTAATCAACGTTGCGAAAAGTGCCTTTAGCAACGTTTATTAAACGTTGCAAAAGATCATTTTAGCAACGTTTAATAAACGTTGCGAAGTAAAGAGGCCTAACCCGCGAAAATTAAAGAGGCCCAACCCACGAAATTAAAGAGGCCCATTTCATTTCTCATTCTCCTCCTCAACCATAGCTCGCCTCCTCTCCTCTCCTCTCCTCTCCGCCTCCTCCGCTCCGCCTCCTCTCCTCTACGCTCCACCTCCTCTCCTAATCCCCTGAACACCCTCCACAGAACCCGACTAAAATCCCGCCCTCTTGCCAGATCAGTCAGACCACTTCGAAAACCTCGTACTCCGAGCTTTCCATCTCGTAGGATCCATGGAAGAAGAAGAATCTCGAAGAGTTGTTCCATTTCAGTTGCAATTTGACAAACCCATAGCTTCTCAGGTCATTCTTTTTCGCTTTTACCGGAGTACCCTCCAGTGTCCACCAAACGTGTTCATCCCCAACGACCCCGCATTGAAATTGAATGCCGTGAGTGTATCAGGCACCTTGCGGTCAGCAAACGGCACGTCGTGTTTCTTAAACAACTCAGCAGCCGTAGTGGCATTCTGAACGATCATCGTATTAACCTGGCCGAGATTAAGCCAAAGGAGAGGTCCATAGGTTTTGCCCCAGTGGTACATGGTTTGGTGAGGCAAATCCCCCAAGTGAAACATGTTGCCAAAAATTGGTATTCCTTTAGGCCCTGGTGGTTTGTCTCCTGATTTCTTGCCCTTCAAAAAACTTAGAATCAGAAGAAGAAATCCAAAAAAAAAGAGAAATGGTAAGTGGATTAATTGAATTCAAAACGCACTCCATTTTTCAATCTGCGCTCTTCTGCTGCCTTCACTTCCTTAAGATATATAGGCAAAGGCAATCCCTGCAATTCAATCACCTGTAGAGTGTACATAAATACATGTGGTTGAAAATGTCTATTTGCAATTCAATCACCTGTAGAGTGTACATAAATACTCTACACTTTTCCCTTCCCTTCCCTTCTCTTCTCTTATCTCTTGTCTCTACTCACTGTGTTTCCTCTAAACATCTGTATTATTCAAACATTTCCTTTTTTCGCTTGATTTAATAAGCTAGTTTCGATTGTTTGTTTGTAATTTTCGATTAGTTTGATTAAATTTTGATTGCGGATTTGGTTTTTACTCCACAAAGTCTAAGAATGGCAGCGTCTGATAATCTTCTTACCGTTGAACAGCAGCCATGGAGGTTAGGTCTGGGAATGGCGGATGGTTGGATATCTGATTTCTTCACCAAAGAAACAGAGACCCTAACAAAAGCTTTAACGAAATACATTCATATAAAGTTAAGCCATCACAAGTAAGACGCTTTAAATATAGTGCGTAAATAAGTGATACCTTTGAATTGCTTAGTTATTATGGCATCTTTAAGACTTGTTTGAACATAAGAGGCGAGATTGAACCTTTCTTAATCTACGGTTATTGAATCAAGCTTGAACAACCCAAGTCTGTGTTCAAGATGGCTCATTTGAAAGATTTGGGAAGACAAGCAGAGGTTTAAGTTGAAAACCATATACAAGTTTCTTGCTTTGAGCATATTAATAATTATAGTGGCATTTGTACTCATAGTGCAGCTTTATTTTTATTTTTTTGTCAATCAGGGAGGGTGACACATCATCCCTGGCTAAATCAAGAGGAAACAATAACTATACATTCTGGAGATGGTTCATTTTACTCGAGGTAACCATTTCTGAAAAGTGAGATGTTTGCTGCAGTCTTCTTAAGAAAATAATGTATATTGCTATGTATATCATCAATAAATAAGTGGAAAAACCTCACTCCTTTACTAAGTGTCTTCACATTGGGACCATTCTAATAAATGCTTCATTGATATCTTGGTATGTATATTCATGTATGATTGGATTGATTTACTGGTTTACTTATTTGCTTATTGGTCAATCCCACAATAAGTTGGGTCCCCATAGTGTAGTTGTTAGAATTAGATGCAAGATTTTTTCGAGTGTTATTGCACTTCCCAAATTACCCTCATATGCGTAGGTTCTGTTTCAACTATATTATGATGATGGTTTTTTTCATGCAGTTGATCACAAAGGACAAATCCATGGCAGAACAATTACTACTTCCAAATTGAGTAATTCACATGTCCAAGGGGTGCTAAATCATTTGAAGAGGACTACTCACTGTAGGAGCAAACAGTCTGTGGAGACAAAAATAATAAATCCGTCACCCGCCATTCCATCTGTTCAAGATGAGCCCCCAGAAATCAGGTCTCCTAACTCGCTCAGCAGTGCAGATAAATGCAGCAGTTCATGAAAATGTTGAGATGACCTATTCTGAAAAGACAGAGGTAAGGTCTTCTTCCAAGACAAGAAGCTTCACTCATTCAACAGTTAATAAAACAGAGAAAAATCCAGTTGCTGAAGCAAACAGTGGAATTGAAAAGAATATTTCGACTAAATGCAGCAAATCAAAATCTTCTGCAAATAAAATTGTAGACCCAGGATATGATTTATTTGAAAACCAGAAACCAGTTGGTTCAGCCATTGATGCTGAGTCAAGTAGATCCCCTGCTGAGGATGGGGAAAGCCTCGTGGAAAAAGACGGGCAGATTATTAAGAATGTTTCTAAGAGAGTTGCCAAGACAGTTGATGCATACCTTGGGGAGATTGCTACTGATGTTGATCTGAAGGTCTGCAGCGTGATGAATCCACTCAAACTATCTTATGCCATGACAGCAAGAAATGAAGGTTCTCCAAATGCCATGACAACAGACGAACTATCCTATGCCACAGACGAACTATCCTATGCCGTGATGGATCCACTCAAACTATCCTATGCCACAGACGAACAAAATGTGCCAAATGCCATGACAACAAGAAATCAGATACAGGCTGATGTATCCCTGGTGAATAGAAGGAGAAGGTTCTCCATTTCTTCTTGTGGGGCTCTTTTCACTCCATCTTTACTGGTTTCAGGCTAATGTTGAGTTAGCTAGCTTTCTCTTATTGTATCACATTCTAATGTTCAAATGTATTGATTCAGATATTTGTAATGAAATTATAAATTTTTATGCAATTTCAAAATTTGTTCACAAAGATTCATTTTCAATTTTTCTATTCCATTTACATAAATTGCTTTTATATATATATATATAAAAAAAACAAAAAACAAAACGGCAACGTTTAAAAAACGTTGCAAAAGGGATCTTTTGCAACGTTTTTTAAACGCTGCAAAAGAGGTGCAAAAGACCCATTTTGCAACGTTTTTTAAACGTTGCCGTATCTCTTCCCTCAACAGCAACACTGAACTTTGCAACACACGCCAAAACGTTGCAAAAGGCCTTTTGCAGCGTTTTTTGACCGTTGCAAAAGGCTTTTTTTGGTGTAGTGTTAACACGGATACCACTTGTTATAATTTTTTAGAACTTTAAATCTTATTAACTTGAAAACTTAATTACTTGATTGCCAAGTTCCTTCACGTCAAATCACTGAGAAAATTATTAAATGCTGAATATACTTAATTTATTGAGAATGATTCTTTAATACTTGCTATTGATTCTGGATCTTGATTATTGACTTTTTTTATTCTTAAGTTCTTGTTCTTGATTTCGACTTTTTGCTCCATAATCTTGATTTTCTCAATTCTTTCTTTTTGATTGTTGATTTTATGTTCTTAATTGTGGGTTTTGGATCATACTCTTCAATATATTATTTCTTATATTCTTGTATTGCTGGGATGGAGAAAAAAATAAGAATCACATATAAATTTGAGACCATAACCCTATTTATAGTTTCCATATGTGATAAGTTTTGTACACTTGTTTAATACCTAAATAAGCTTACATAATGATTAAATGAGTGAATTTCTACTCACAATTATGTAATTGTTGCTTTTGTAGATAAAAATCACCAAAGGAAATAGAACAACACAAAAAGGATGAGAAAATGACCAAAATCGTGCAAAACTGTGAATTTGGGGGCCAAAACGCACAAGTTTAGAAAGTTCAAGGACCTGGGGTTACAATTTTTAGAGGGTAAGATTGATAGAAAAGTCAAAATCTAATAGCCAAATTGTACAAGATCAAAATTAAGGGACCTTGAGTGCAAGTTGTTAAAAGACTTGTGTGCAAAAAGAAAAAGAAAGCAATAAAAAATGCAATTGATACGAGAGAGTTGGCGCCTATACGCCATTTTTAATTTTAAAAAAGACTCCAGGATCGTTTTGTCACTTTCCAAAACTCTGGAGAGCAAAGTTGCAAGTTCTGGGTAGGGTTTTAAAGAAGAAACATGGCCAATCTTTTCTTCCATTTTTCTTATTTTCATCTCTATTCTTTTCTTTTCTTTTCCTTTTCAATTTCTTGGCATTTTTTGGAAAAATTAGAGCACGACAAGGAGTAGAAATCAAAGAAAAGGTGGAAGATTTGGGAATCTCAAGATTCAAGTCATTACCATCTTCAAGAATCCAACAAAAAAAGAGTTTTATATTTAATCTTGTATTTTCTTTATTATTTTCTATCATTTGTGATGTACTAGATAAATTTTCTCTTTTTCATTATATATATAATATAAGCTAATTTCTTGTGTTAGAATTTATAGTAGTCTATAAGCTAATTTCTTGTGTTAGAATTTATAGTAGTAGTTAGACCTAACTTTTAATTAATTTTAATATTTGTTTTTTAATGTTAAAATACTTATTTTCATGTGATCTACTGTTGTCTTTCTTACATTTTCATTTATGTGGATAATGAATGATTATGTTTAGTGATCTGTACATCGTTTGAGAGAAGATTGTACATTTTAGACAAATGAAGGTTCATGTAGAGAATGGAGATATACCCTTAAACCCTAAGTCACCAATTGAGCTATTTTCATAAAAATTTAATGCGATTGTTTGTTTTTTATCGACATAGAGACATAGTAGGTTAAAACAATCAATTATGATATTTTGTTCGAGAGGGGTAATTAACGAAAATTGAAAAATCAAGTCTAACATCATAAATGAATAATTTGTTATGTGACTTGTGAAAAAATTAATTAGGTGACAGTTAAATGAAATCATGAATCCCAATCACGTTTTCTTCCGAAATTCTCAAGATTTTTATATTTTCTTATTTTGCATAATTTTAATTAATCTTTTCTTTCTTTTCAAAATCAAAATAGTTATTGTGTGTTTGTTTGTTTAAATTTGTGTAATCAAAATTATACATTCCTTTAAAGATCGACAATTCGGACTCAAAATGTTTACTTTATTACTTAAACGCAACTCGTGCACTTGCGGTTTGCACTTTCATAACGAACAATATGTATTTCGACCCATCGTGAAAATACAACTTTAATGGACCTGGTCTCTACACATAATTAAATACATATTCTATTTAGATGTCCAAAGCCCATAACTTTAATTTTTTATTAGATCACTTTAAACGAGTTTAATCTTAAGATAACATTTATACATAATGAATTACATATGTAGGCCCATGTGACAAATTAAATTCCAACTAATTAATGATTTTAAATTTAAAAATGGAAATGTTTAAATAATCATTACTAATTTCATAAAAGTAAGTATGTGGACTCTAATTATTTCTAGATCGAAATGCGGGTCTTTTAGATAATAAATGACTTCTAATTCTTTCATTTGAGCGGTAGGGAATCCTCTTTCAAAAGTCTATTCTGATTTTGATTTCCTTAACAAAGTTTTATAGAGTATGTTAGGGAGTTGTCTATAAACACTACTATTTATTAACAATTTTTATCAAACTATTTTTATCCACATATTGCATAGTACCTATAAGTGATAGACATTTTTTCACCATTAATTTTTATCTAATTTATAAACACGAAAGATAGTCTTAGTTGTGAACTCATTTAATCATACTCTATCGTCAGCATGGGAGCAGAATTGTTGCAATAAAGGAAACAAATTGAATAAGCGATTTGAAAATCCAATTTTACTTATAGTGGAAAAGTTTGTGAAAACTAATTATATATGAATAGTAATTGTTGGTCCCCGATTTGTGACTCAAACGTTTCAAACTTAAAAATATTCAACAAGAAATCAGAAATAATCGACAAAGAAAGAAAGAACACATGAGATTTTTGGGCCTTAAGCCTCGGAGGTTCATCGACTACTTCTAACACTTAATTCTCCATTGAGTATCCATTAGGATTAAGCTAGAATCCACTAGCACAGTCTCAAATATAAGCACATGTTCAATTACATGAAGAACACCACACTTCTCAACTCTCGCACACAAAGATCTCTCCTCATTTTACAACGGTCACAATAACAACTCACATAAGAAATGTATTACTTTTCACTCTCTCTCAAAACTCCAATTTTCATTAAAAATTTACAAGAAAATCATCCAGAGAATGAATCATATAGAAAGACAAAACACGAAGAAGAACGAGTGAAACGGTTGAACCTAAAGTCACAGCACCCTTATTTATAAGAGATAGAGCCAAATCCTCCATCCAATGGTGCAAAGTAAACCACGTGTCAGCCATTCAGATAAGGTGACATTTTGTATAAGAAGCGTGTTTACCAAACATGTTTAAATCAGTTCTAGAAGCTTCAATTGGATCATTAATTCAGTAAAATTACCAAACTCAAAACCGGCAGACTTTGGGCCAAACTACTTCGGCTCACAAATTTCAGCAATCCAATTTGCACAGTAATTATGACAAGAATAATGTTATTCATTTAGAGTATATACGATCATCAGTTTATATGTTGGTCTCACATATTTCAATAAATAAAAATGCATTTTAACTTATTGAATAATGTAGTTGTTTACCTCGATTTTTAGACGAATGACGTGACCAACTAATCTTGGCTCCATCACATTCATGTAATGTTTTGCCTACAGACTTTGACAAGTCGTTTGCAACATATGTCCTTCTTCAGAGGTAGGGGAGGCGTCAACATACACTCTGATGGTCAAATCAGTCACTCGTATAAATATATTTAGGTATGAGATGTGTTTAAGACGTAAGCCACAAGAGTGTTCGACTACCAAGGGTGAGAGAGAACAAATATGAAAGCAATGTTACTATTGAGAGTGTAAAAGTGCATTACTTTCAAAGGCACCAAGTGCGAGCTTTTATAGTAGGAGAAGATGAATGATTATCGTTGGATGAAAAGATATTTGGCATCATTATGATGGTCGATGCCTCTTCTCCTAGGTGTTACTCCATCAATCATAGGCTAAGGGGCATTCAATGTTTCTGAAAATTAGCCACCTTATAGCCTATGTCTGACCTCTAAAAAGGAAACTGACAAGTTGACCATTTACTCATTTGCTTGTTACATCAATTAATAATAGAAATATCTTGTACGGAAGGTCTCTTGAAATATATGAAGTGGTAGATGTTTTCTCTCAACAAAGTGGTTGATTGACTTAAATTCACTTTGCAGAAGGTTTTAGCACCACGCCTAGGCCATGGAGAGTCAACCTCTACAGGGTACCTCGGCTAGAATGATGCATCACTTCGACATCTTATTATATCACCTCAATTCGAAAAGGTAAAACAGTGACGTAGAGTGTGAACCTAATTGAACATGTTAGCTAGCCGTGACGTAGCTATTATTTTGAGCTTATTAGAAGAGACGTAGCAATAGTCCCCCAAGTTCATGTATGATTATTTATATAATGTATAGACTTTTGGTTTGAGCATATCATAAAGTTGAAGGATGATCCATTGTCGAAGTAATGCTCTGGCGTGGAGTATTTTACCTTCCTTTTGTGAAGTGGTTGCTCGTTTAGTTGTGTACAAATATGGGAGCAATATTAATATTGAGAGTGTAAAATTATATTATTTTCAAATGGCACTAAGTGTAAATTTTTATAGTAAAATATAAAAAATGGTTACCGTTTGATGAAAAGATACGTAGGATCATCCTAATGGTCAAAATGTCTTCTCCGAGATGTCACTATACCAATCATATGCTGCGGGCATTTAATGTTTCGAAAAAGTA